TATGTCTTCTTTTGAGAAGTGTCTGTTCATATCTTTTGCCTACTTTGTAATAGGGTTGTTTGTTTTTTTCTTTTCAGCACATTTGAGTTCCTTGTAGATCCAAGATGTTAGGCCTCTGTCAGACATGGAATTGGCAAATACTTTTTCCCAGTCTGTGGGCTGTCTCCCTGCTCTCTTGATGGTTTCTTTGGCTTTGCAAAAGCTTGTCAGTTTAATGAGATCCCACTTGTCTATCTTATCTTTTATGGCCCGTGCATTTCGGGTGTTGTTCAGGAATTGGATGCCAGTTCCAATTTCCATAAGGGTGTGTCCTGCATTTTCTAAGGTTCTTATGGTTTGAGGTTTTACATTTAGGTCTCTGATCCATTTAGAGTTAATTTTTGTGTATGGGGATAGATAGCGGTTTTGTTTGAATCTTCTGCATGTGGTGAGCCAGTTTTCAGCACCATTTACTGAATAGGTTCTCCTCTCCCCAGTGGTAGGTGGCAGAGGCTTTGTCGAAGATGAGTTGGTTGAGAAATTGAGGTTTTGCTTCTGGAATCTCAATTCTATTCCATTGGTCTATATGCCTGTTCCTGTATCAATACCAAGCTGTTTTGATGATTGTAGCTTTATAGTAAAGTTTGAAGTTTGGTACTGTGATACCTCCTGCTTTGTTTTTTTTGCTGAGGATTGTTCTGGCTATTCTTGGTCATTTGTGTTTCCATATGAATTCCTGTGTTGTTTTTTCTAGGTCTGAGAAGAATGTTGCTGGTAATTTAATGGGTATTGCATTAAATCTGTAGATTGCCTTTGGTAAGATGGACATCTTCACAATGTTGATTTTTCCAGTCCATGAGCATGGGATATTTTTCCACTTGTTTGTGTCATCTTTGATTTCTTTGAGCAGTGTTTTGTAGTTTTCATTGTAATGATCTTTCACGTCCCTGGTTAGGAAGATGCCAAGGTATTTCATTTTTTTGTGTGTCTATTGTGAATGGGATTGTGCTTTTTATTTAGGTTTCTGTTTCTTTATTATTGGTATAAAGAAATGCAATTGTCTTTTGCACATTTATTTTATACACTGAGACTTTGCCAAAGTCCTTTATCAGTGCAAGGAGGCTTTTGACAGATTCTCTTGGGATTTCAAGGTACACAATCATGTCATCTGCAGAGAGAGAGAACTTGACTTCTTCTTTTCCTATTTGGATACCCCTGATCGCCTTCTCTTTTTTGCTTGCTCTAGCCAGGACCTCCAATACTATATTGAACAGGAGGGTAGAGAGCGGGCATCCTTGTCTTGTTCCAGGTTTCAGGGGAAATGGTTCCAATTTTTGTTTAGGAGTATGCTAGCTGTAGGTTTCTCGTAGATGGCTTTTGCTATTTTGGGGTATGTTCCATGTATGCCTAGATGTTCAGGGGTTTTTATCAAGAAGGGGTGCTGGATTTTATCAAAAGCTTTTTCTGCATCTAATGATATAATCATGTGGTTTTTGTTCTGACATCTGTTGATGTATTTAATTACATTTATTTTCTTGCAAATATTGAACCAGCATTTCATCCCAGGGATGAAGTCTACTTGGTCATGATGGATGATTTTTGAGAGGTGTTGTTGAATCCAGTTTGCTAGGATCTTGTTGAGAATTTTGGCATCTATGTTCATCAAAGATATTGGCCTGTAGTTCTCTTTCTTTGTTGGGTCTTTACCTGGCTTGGGTATCAATGTGATGTTAGCTTCATAAAATGATTTGGGGAGGGTTCCATATTTCTCAATCACTTGAAATACTTTCAGTAGGTTTGGTGTCAGCTCCTCCTTAAATGTCTTGTAGAATTCTGCTGGAAAGCCATCTGGTTCAGGGCTTTTTTTTTTTTGTAGGTAGTTTACTTATTACATAGTCAATTGCCTTGATTGTTATTGGTCTACTTGGGGTCTTGATTTCTTCTTGTTTCAACCTAGGCAGGTTGTGTGATGTCAGAAAGTCTCCCATTTCCTTGAGGTTTTCAAG